TTTGTTTTGTTTTTTGTTATTGTTAACTAACTAGGTATCGCTGGTGGTCTGGCAAATAAGGAGTTGCACTGCCAACCTAAAAGTAGGCAGTTTGACTCCACCGACAGCTTTGTAGGAGAAAGATAAGGGTATAGTCTCTGAAAAGTCAACTATGCAGATAGCCTACATTTTATCATTGCTATACCAAACTCATTCTATTACTATATGATCCTGTAATTCTAGGGAAATGATTCTCATAGAGTAAAGAACTATATCATTACTGACAAGTAAAATGAGAATATTTCACCTTGATTTTACTCAACTTCTCTAAAATATATAGAAGATTGGACCCTTTTGTTTTCCTCTACAAAACACTTCCTGGAAGTCTTAAAAACATTTTTTCCTACTCCCATCCATTTCTACAGGCTCTTTTCAACATACTTCACAGATTACTTATCTATTTAAGACTTTTAAAATATTAATTTTCAGAGATACATCTTTGACGTTCGTTCCCCCTTTCACTATGTTTGATCTCCCTGTGATTTCAACTAACAATATCTTGGTAAACCAAATACCTATTCTCGTTTCTCCAAAGTATCTGACCTCACCAAAGGCCTTCTGTACTTCTCTGTTATCTTAGACCTCATTAAGTCATTGAAAATATTTTATTAAAGTTCAAAACCTTCTTAATTTTAATTAGTGGGACTACCACCTTGCCAAATCAGAGAACTGGGCTTGATGTTTCACTGTCACCAACTCTTCATATAACATCCAATTGGTTGTCAAGTCATGTTGCATCTACACAAACAGTTCTCTCTGATCTGTGAGATGTTTCTCATCATCACAGCTTCTGAAACTTCAGAGCTGTGTCATCCCTATTAATCTTTCCCAAGCTTCCAGTCTTCACCTTAAATATTTCAACCACAAAATTATCAAGGTGAATTTTCTTAAAAGCAGACACGATCAAGCTATTCTTCATCTCCTCCCACACCTAAACCAGTTCATTGGCTTCTTACAACCTTCAAAATAAAATAGCAGCTCCTCTGACAGTGCTGATCTCTGCAGTCTCATACCATACCACATTTGCCTCGAAGCCTACAATTTAGTCATACTGAAATGTGTATGCCAAATGCTCACATTTCAATCATATTGAAATGAATACTCTGAATGGATCTCTTAAGTGTTCTTTCAAACATTTCCACCTCAGTATACTCTCCTCACTTGGTTAAACATTCCTTCCTCCAAAAAAGGCTTTGCTTATACTCTCAGAGAGGACAGAAAATCTCTGTATTATCAAGCTAGTTGAACAAATCAGTCTGAAGATTGTATATTGTTTTATGATAGTGAATACATAGATAGCTGTACATTCTGCGGATTGATAGATAATTAGCTTCTTGAGAGCATGGATCATCTTCTCTATATCCTTTACAATAGCTAACACATACTGTGTACCACATCAGTATTGTATGAAGCCAAGCACTACTAATACTCCCCTGTGGTTGTTCTTGTGGTTGTTATGAGCCATCAAGTCACCTGGGACTCATAGAGACCCCATGTACAACAGCACCGAAGCCTGCCCTGTCCTGAGTCGGTCTCACTAACTCCAAAACATCTACCCCAATTGCCCTAATTACTGTATAAATCCTTCTCATCTGGGGTCTTCCTCTCCTGCACTGTCTCTCCACCCTTCTGAGCATGATTTCCTTCCCCAAGGATTGGTCCTTC